TTAAAGGAGAGTGGTGGCTCTGGATACAAATCTTTGAGGTGGGTGGGGGTGTAGGAGGTGTACTAGGTTGTTCACTAGAAATCTGCAGAATCTAGGACAACGCCCTGGTATGGACCAGAAGAATAAGATTCTGTGTGTAGGAAAGGAATGGATCTATACCAGATTGTCGAAATCCAGTTTGCCGAGTGCCTGATTGCCTACTCAAAAACCATGAATCCCAGTTTGCTGAAGCCCAGTTTACCAAAAGTCAAATAAAAGCAGTAAACCATGAACAACAGCATAATTCTTTTTTATATATTCTCTCTAAATCAAACTTCATTGATCATTCAGTTACTTGGAAAAAAATGAATTGAATAGGTCTATCAGATAAAATGTCTAAGAATATTTATAGTATTTACATAAAATTTAACTAAGATACCCTGTCGTTGTCCTTTACTTGCTTGCACTACCACAACAACAAAATGTTCCTCCTTTAAGTAAATCTCTTATTACCCAAACTAGCTTGCATTAAATACTACTAACATGATGAACTTTGCCATTTACATGCTAGAATGCTTCAACCGCTTACACCTTTCCCCTTCTTTTCCCCATCTTACCCCTCCCCATCGTACCTCTCCCGGAATCCCACCATAGGCATATAGGTGCCTCCTGGGTCTCCTATATACCAGACATAAATTTCTGGTTACGACAGCCTATATGTAGGTCTATTCTTAGAATATTATCAAATCTATGAGAAATCACTGAAAATGGGGGTCTTCACTTAAATTACTATAACTATTTTTCCCCAAGGAGGATTGAAGAGGAGTTTTCGCATGTTAAAAAGGATACCCATGCGCATCGATTGATACTAAAAAAGCTTTGTTAAATTTTTTTCCCGGTACATCATTAAAAAGACCAGACATTTTTTGCATTATCGTTTATAGTGAAAAATTTATTATTCTGATGAATATTCAACAGGGTTTCTACAAGCATAGCGGATGAAGTTTATTGATAGACGTTTATGGTGGGTTTATATCAGAGCACGGGTCACAAACATATACAGTAGTAGTAGGGTTTAATTAGAAATTGCACATTAAATCAACACTAAACTCTGGTTTTTGTTTCGTTATTTAAAAAAAAAATTGTAATCGCATAAAAGTGACTCGGACTTGACTATCACGATCTCATAGCGTAGGTCAGCAAAATGAGTTATAACAAACCATGTTCTAAACTTGTATTTGTAATTTTCGTAAAAATGTCATGCTTATATGTGTTATAATTATAGTATTATAATTTATAACGTGTGCTGACGCATATTAGCGTAATTTGTGAAGTATTCATTTAGTGTGACTCAAGGAAAGAATTTGTATTGGCTAGCAAAAACAAGCTTTAAGATACGGTACTCACTGTGAACACTGTGTACAAAGGGGGGAGGTGTCAACTGTACGTCCGACCACCCCCCCCCCAATACGTCTCTGATTTTGAGTGACCTGGATGGATGGATAACTAACGAAAGTCTGAAGAATTATTTGGGGTACTTCTGGTGGTGATTGAGCAGTACCGGTACACCAGGTCACCAGGTGACAATCCCCTACTCTTTTCTGAAGAGTGTACTGCAGTGCATTTTTAAATTTGCACATGGGCCATAATGCACTGGGGTCAAACGGTGTAACTTGCATTTTAGCCCTGTAGCAACTGAAACATATAATAAGTAGGATGGGAATTGAATCTGGGACCAAGAATCTCAACGGTTGAGCGCGCACACAGGAGCTACCACTAGTTTAGCCTCCTGAAGATGCCTTCATGAAGAATTAACGTTTCTTCTTATTCAAAACGGATCTGATAATGCAGATTACTAATGAATGAATGACCAAAACTCTTACTGTGACTGTAATTGGTAGGTCTAAAGAGTGAATCAATCGGAAACTCCCACAATTAGGGCTTATTTAATCAATATGAGAGATTTTTTTCTCCCCAACAAATTGTGCTTCCAGACATGGGAGAGAGAACCCCTGACGCGAAAATCGGCCTTTCCTTCAGGTATATCGCCCCTTCTCCCGTCAGGGACATCTGTTATATGTCGGCAGCATCGCACCCATCCCGTTCCTCCTCTATTTTGGAACATCAAACCCCTGTCCAGCAAATACCGGCACCACGACTGTGGATCCAATGTTCCCGACAGGCACCAATATCCCTGACGGGGGAAGGGCGATGTCCCCGATAGAAAGGCCGATTTTCCCGACGGAAAAGCAGGTGGGGACAGAAACGGCCAAGCACCAATCAGAGGGGGTCTAAGGAGCCAGTCATCTGGAAATTCCAATAATTAGGAACTTGAGAGCCTTAATCAATTTGATGTTTTTTCTTCCCGAAAATTGTGCTACCAGACATGGGAGAGAGAACCCTTGGCTCACCCCCATTGTCACAAATCCCCTGTTCCTCCTTTAAGTAAAATCTCTTATTACCCAAACTAGCTTGCATTAAATACTATTAACATGATGAACTTTGCCATTTACATGCTAGAATGCTTCAACCGCTGACACCTTTCCCCTTCTTCTCCCCATCTTACCCCTCCCTATCGTACCTCTCCCGGAATCCCACCATAGGCATATAGGTGCCTCCTGGGTCTCCTATATACCAGACATAAATAGAGAATAACTAGAGAACAAAACAAAGAGAAATTTTTCGACACCAATTCCCCACTCCTGATCGGTTCTTCGCATGTTGCATGACCCCTACCAAGATTCGTCCCTGATTTGTATTCTATAATGTAGGCTACGGTAGTACCATTCGAACATTTAAATAATAGACGCTCTTAACACTATAAATATTCAGAAACGGACAAAAATTTACTTTCTCCATAATAATTGCATACCAATTACTTCCGGATAACTTTTTCTTCAGGTCGTCTATAAAAGAAACAATATAAACAGGGACCCTAACTCAGGACCACTATGGAAATAAACCTGTGTAATTGTTTTTCGTCTTGTTCGGTTATTTTTTCCAACAACACTGCTTTTTTGAAATTGTTTTTAAATATATTTTTACTCCAAAGTGTTTTTACGTTTTTATAATTTTTAAAACCATTCAAAAAATTTTAGATAGGCCTAATTTTCGAACTTTTTATTACAATGTTTTATACTTTTATTTAATGTACATTTTTTTCCAAATTCTCCATTTTATGCAATTTTGTGACATCTGTTTTAGCTTTCTATCAATTTTATGAAGTTTCATTGATTTGTATGTTGATTTTGACCGAATGAATGCATGAATGAACGTCTATTGTCTCTGAATTATTACTGAATTTGTGCGTTTTTCACTGTATTTTTAATGTAAAGTTTTGTTAAATGACATTATATTGTATTTATGGTTTTGGTTCTCTTATGTAAAAAATTCAGCCATTGGCTGCAGCTAAGGAATTTTATTTTTCACTATTTGTTTAGACTATATGGTTTTATATTATATACATATATATATATAGATTAAAAGGCAAAATACTGGAAAACAACAATGCTGTGGGAAACAATATATATATATATATATATATATATAAAAACATACTGGGATTGGGCCCCAGAAAGCACATACGTTACAGCATTGTTAGGCTCTGTATTTAAGAGCTAGGTAGAAGTACTGTAGGAGAGCTTACACCACTAGCCTTGGATCAAATCTTGATACAATACATGTTCTTTTTAGGGTCCACAGGTTTATTCAAATTGTAGACTGGTTTTTGGAGACGAAAGTTACAAATTAATAAGCAATATGATAAAAAATATTTATTCTTTAAAAAAATATACCAATACAGTGGTTTCCATTGACAATCAAAAGGAGATTCGTACTAAATTAGTTTGAGCCTAGGTTAGCAGTATTGTACAATGAAGATAAGCACTGGGCGAACAATGTACTGTTGTAAGATTAAACTGATGGATTCAGATGCTTTGGTAAGCACTGCACATGCTGGAATGAGCCCGATATACAGTAGTGTCTGATGGACAATACATCGGAGATAAACTGAAGGGGATATGCTGGGAGTAAGCCTCGTATAATAATGCAATTAGCCTCAAATTAGTTGGGGGAAAGCCTGAGATAACACAGGAGTAAACTGAGCATTAGTAATTCTTAAATATAATTTTAAGTCTAGAATTCTATTTTTATCTAATTATGATACTGAAATTCATATCGAAACTTAAACTATATCAAAAAGGCTTATTAACAAATTAATATAGAATTTGATTATTAGGACTACTTTAAATATATAAAACAAATTATTCAAATTGGAAGATCATAAAGTATGCTGATACCTTTGAATTTAAAAAAAACCTTATGTAACTACTTGATACAACATACAGAGGAAGAAACAATGTTTACCATTGTTTAAATCAAGTAGGCCTATAACTGGCATGCAGACTAAATGAAAATTCAGCTCCATCATTGTGCGCTACATATAAATAAGTGCAATTGTTGATGACGTGAACATTCTTTCGGTGAATTTTACATACAGTTTTATTCTACGCTTAAAGTCTTTGTTTGCAATTTGGTACTGATGCTCACTAGGCTTTCTCTGCCATCTCGATAGATACACCCCTGTCTCTTATACACATCTAGATGTGTATAAGAGACAGGGCTAAATGAAGGCGATACAATATCATCAGGTTTAATTCTTTAGGAAATTAACAACCATAATATGGCATTTGGTTGGATTAGGGATCATATTGTTAGAAGTACACCAACCACTTAGATTATCCAGCATAGTCTGCATGGAAGGAATTTCACCTATACGAATGAACGGTCTCACCAAAAGGTGAGACGGTCCACTTATTTCCATCTTCTGCAGCAATCAACACATGCATTGTTAATGAGAATCATGAATAACACAGGACAGTGACATGTATGGTGACTTGATCCCTGCAAAACGGCTGATGATGTGTATTAAGGACAACCTCAGCCCAAGATCTATTAACTTTCTAACTACTGTACTAACTATATATATATATATATATATATATATATATATATATATACACATATATACATACATACATACATATATTCATTCGAGAGTTGGTCAAATTCGCTTACGCTTAATTAAATTATTATTATTTCAATAGTGCAAAAACAAATCACCTTTTCACCATTATCCAAAGCGTTGGGTATTCCAGACGAATTTAAAGCCTTTTTAATAAAAAATAAGTAAATCATAAACACAAATCAAATTTTGAAACATAAACATAAAAATGAGATAAAGTAACTAAATATTTGAAATAATAAACTTGTTATAATACAACAAGAGTTGAGTGTTTGGCAGAGAGGTAATGTTGGTACTTCTTGTGCTAAAGACTCTAGAGATACAGGGGGCATGGTACTGGCACCGTATTACGGTATTTTAAAATTAATTTCTAATAAATAATGACAAAAAAAAATCAAATCAAAGCAAATATTATGTCCGGAACTTTTACTTCTAAGCTGTGAAGTAGCTTCGATGTAAGAATCACAATGGTCAGTAAACCGGAACTGTTACTTCTAAGCTGTGAAGTAGCTTCGAATTAAAAATCACATAATGTTCAGTAAGCATAATGTGGATGCTTGTCTGATAGCGCGCAAGTGCATATATCCTAAGTGTACAATTTTACATGAATAATCAAGTTGTAGACATCATTGATGCATTGCTACCTTTGTATAGACTTGTACTTTTTATATCCCATCAGGGCGAGTGATACTGCCTCACTGAAATGTAAAGCCTCTACGGCATACTTTAAAATTTTATGTCTAATAGGTGATAACCCAAACTTTCAGATAATTGATATTGCCAATAATGGTAGTGAAGAAACTTTCTCAATACGTTCATTTTATGTCAAGGGTTGACAAAGACTACAGAAGTAGCCGAAATGTTTGCCAAATAAATTTTAGTGTTTCTAAAGTCAACATCTTACGTATTTGAGTCTCATTACTGTTACTCTCATTACTATATTATATTCTACATATTTTTCGAAATATATGTAGAATATGTGGGTGTGTGTGTTTGTTGTGTGTGTGATAATTACAAAAAAAAATGATAAAATGATAATAGGCCTATATAAAAAAAAACTAAAAGGACTCACTGTAACATTTGCATATTCTGGTGCTGAACCATTGGTATCGAATGATGATTTATCTTCAGCATATGTGTCTTCGAAATCTTGAAGTACATCAATATTAAAAAATGTCGCTATGACTTGTGGGAATTGCATGTCCATTATTAGAATAACCAGTCCACAAATAAATGATATCAGTCCTAAAATAAAAACAAAATTTTTATCTGACTATAGATAATGTATTTGCTATGGCCTTATATTATCGTATGTATGGTAAATAAATATACAAATTTAACATTATTCTAATATTTACATTAAAATCCAGTATTAGCTGTGTGTGTAAATTTTTCATTTCATTTATTCAACATTTTTACTATTGATTCCCAAACATGCAATCATCAATACAGTCCAAAACAATGGTAATAAAAAAAGAAATCGGTCCACATAGAAAAAAAATACAAATATACAAAAAAAATGCAAACAAATTCTTCAAAAGTTACAATACGGAGATTTAGCAAGTGGCTGTTAAAGTTTCATTTTTTTTTTACCTTAAGAAAAAAATGGTAAAAAGGCAGCGTTCAAAAGGGTAGCCTTCAAAGTGGAGCAATTTTCACTCACTTACTGAATACCGAGATTACTGAGCTCACAATGCCAATGACTAGGATCATGGTAAACAATTTTATAAAAAAAAAAAATTTAAAAGATTATAAAAAACAGACACTTTTTTAATAGTGATCAGAAATCCGAGAAGGGATCCGTGAAGAAATACTTTATAGGCCTAATGTTAACTTGTGTGGAAATATTGTGAAGGAAAACAATTTTTGGACAATGCCTTTTATTATTATTTTGGTGTTTTTCCCTTCTCAAGAATATTCGCAAATATTATTTTCTATTACATTGTTCACTTCGACACCACTGACAGATTAGAGTCTATAATCGTCCAGTGGTGTCGGCGTGAACAAATTACAATTGATAATAATTCTTACCAGTGAAAAGACACAGCATAAAGTGGGGACCTTTGTGGAATTCAAGTTTGGCTGTCGGGTCATCATAAGTAACGAAAGGTATTGCCAATGGTTGTGATCCATATCGAATGCTACTATAGATTATGTTCCCAGTTAGGAGACTCCCTCCTGTTAGCATCAGAAAGTAAGCTCCATACCGCAGGACCATGAAAAACAGAATGTTTGAAAGAAGCCACAAGGGAAAAGCCGTCCTACAAAAAAATAACCATTTTAATTTTATGAAAAGTATGATTTTTTTACATTTTTAATGATTATTCAAGTTTATAATGTAATAATTGAGCAGAGTACCGTAATACAGTTGATTAAGCCTAAAGTTATAATATTGTAATTAATCAATCATTCGATCAATCAATCATTTACAATTTATTTTTCCAAAAGGAAATTGAATTGAGAAAAATCCTTGATCATGAAATACAAAGAAACTGCTTCTTGATAATGCAGTTAAGTTCTCGGATTTTTCAAGAAGTCATTTTGAAAAGAAGCCCCCCTCTTTACTTTGCAAAAGTAGCCTCACTCGCAAAGAAGCCCATCTCGAAAAGAAGCCCATCCAAATTTAGCAAAAAAAAAAAAGAAGAGAAACCCAGGGCTTCAATTCGAGGTTTTATGTATCTTCTATCAACTCTGAATGTCAGTGTCCATTCTGTAAATATGAATAAATTATAGTACATCTATAAAAAAAACATAAAAATTATACTCTCCTTGACATATTACTGTATATGTTTGAAATATATATTGGATGACAATATTGGTTCTTACCATAACATAATGTAGGTGTAGTAACCTGCCATGCGGTAAGATCGACCCCAACGGATTTTTTCTCCATCCAGGACAAAGTATTCTGCAATCCACAATATAGGGAGTGGCATACCACGCCACTGTGCCGCTCGAAACTCACGATTAATACGTCCAGCTGTAAAAATGGTTTAACGATTTGTTTTAGATTCATGAATACAAGGGGCAGAAAAAAAAAGTAGAACATCAACATATAGAGAAGAATACTCAATAATGGTCAAATATTTTGACCCGGGCTAATTTTTGCGTAACAGACTAATGGAGGGATTTAGCGATGAGCGTCACATGACTTAACTTGGTTGTTGGATATAAACATAGTCAATAGAAAACTTTCTATTGTCTAGTGGAGAATTAGCAAGAAAAAAAATTTCATTAAAAAAAACCCGAACTTTCGAGACAATCCATGCACAGGAGGTACCGCAGCCCAGAAAGTACACTCTAGCTAGCTTTCAGCTCTCCACATGCGTGAGTGTTTAATTATTAATATGATCCCCAAGTCATTCACTGACCAACCACTACAGGATGGCATGTTATCTTTCTCTATAGAAGATCGTTTGATCGTTCAATCTGGTTAATTTAGGTAGTTAGAAGTTAATTTAATGTACTACCTTATATTCATATAATTTTCATAATGCTATTTTTAAAATGTTCAACTTTTAATAATTAAGTACTTCAATGCTATAGGTAGGCTAGGCTAGCCTATCTAGGCCCTAGGTCTTGTCTAGGCCTAGGTAGCCTAGCCTAGCCTAAGCAAGATTTATTGCCATTGGGGGCGAGTGACTTGAGACCTAGAGATTTAACAGATGCATTGGTTTGATTGATTTCTGGGCCCTTTGTTAAATATTAGAAAGCCAAAGTTATAACCAGGGAGATGTATGCTCATCTGTCCTGTCCCTGTTATGGGTGATTTTTTAAAATTTATTTATTCAACAATATTTTGAGAGGGTAGCTCAAACAGCAATGCTACAGAAATTATGAAATTGCAAATCAACCTTCAAATTTAATTGTCGCTAATAAATATTTTGAAACAAAATTTTTTCCTGTCTGTGGGCTAGTAAAATCTCTAGTAAACTAGCCCAGTGGGCTAGTTACCAAAAAAAGTTAGGGCAAGCCCTGCACTATGATATAAACAATCCACTGACACAGCAGTGTTTTACATGAAGATTTCTATCGCGACCGTAACTTGATTGCTGTAAAGATTACCATATTCCCAGTAAACTATACCAAATTGATTGGAAAGTTGTTAATGTTTTGCTAATGCAAGGACTGGCCGCAAACATTGAAATTTTTCAACAAATGTTAGGTCTAGGCCCCTGCACATCTACGTCATGGTGAGGTTGACCTGTCACGCCAAAATTGGTCCGGGTCAAAAAAGGTCCGGCGGACAGAAGGTCGGTTTGGGGCCACTTTTGGCCGCTAAAATCGGTCCACCGGATCAATTTTAGCCGCTAAAATCGACCTCCTTAGATAAAATTGGTCCGTCGGCCGGCCGCTTGTAACGCGTCTGCTGCCCGTGGGGTATGATTATTTCTCCTAGGCTTAGGCCTAGGCATAGCATGCATCATTTTCGGCGGCCGTGCTTGGCTAGGTTTGGGCCTAAAACAATAATAATAATAATAATAATAATAATAATAATAATAATAATAATAATAATAATAATAATAATAATAATAATAGATAGATAGATAAAAGATTTATAAAGCGCACAGATGCACTGCAGTAGTGCTCAAGGCGCTAAAATACGTAACTTATGGCCTATCATGATGATGCCCGGTCTTCGACCCGCGAACTACGCTGCGAGGCCCAGCTAAGTTTTATGAAGAATCACTGAACTTTCAAAGCTTACAATCCAAGGAGAATGCTAGAATAATTATAAGTAAATAAACACTATTTTTAACAATCGTATTGCCGTAAGTTCCTAGCCATTTACTTCACGCGTTAACAGTTGGTGGTTGTTTTTGCAACCATGACATTATTTTTTCCTATATGCTATCGCACCCAAATGTTATTTCGTGTATCCAAGTTAGGTCACGTATCCAAGTTAGGTCTTCACTAAATCCCTCTATTCGTATGGTATTTTAAATAGCTTGTTGGTGAAGATGCTTGCCTATCAGTTCCAGAATTAATTTCTGTCTGTGTTGCAGGGTTTGTTTATTTTGTGTAAAGCATCGTCTGTTTATGTTCGATTTGTGGTAGTGATACTTGCTATGGCAATCATATGGCATAGGCCTATGTGTGTGAATAAAGAAATAAATGAAAAAATGAATTAAATAATTTCAGTTTAATTAAAGTTTGATAATATAATCGAAAGGTTTTAGGCATTAATTTAAGACAGTTCAAGTTTTCGTTATTTATCGCTACTCATTATATATTTAAACTATCGGAAGTTTCGTGGTTCATTCAATTTTATTCAAAGTTTGAATAGACGACATTGCCCATTACAAATATAAAGTAAACGATCATTGAGATCTGAAACAACTCACCAAAAGGTCCAAATCCGGTGCGTCCCTGACCACCGTAAAAGTGGAAACGTTCATTATAATTGATGGTCTCATTGGGAAATTCTGCATGTTCATTTTTCAAGAACGGCTGGATCGGATCAGCTATGATTACCAAATGAGAAAGACAACTTAAGTGCTACAACTGCATGTCACAATACAACTTAATAATGTCGACATTAAATGGTGTGAATAGGAATTGAAGGCCAATGCCTAAATCTTATTTTGTGTGACAATTCATCGTAGGCCTATATCAAATCAATGTGACCTGTCTTTTCTTTATATGATTTATATAGCTGATTTTAACGGTCATTAATTACCTTCCCTAGATATTGTGTTAATTTACTATGAGAAGCTAACTAATAGTCCATTGAAATGGAGCTGTAGCTTGGTGGAGATGCTTGCCTTCTAATCCCATGGTTCAATTTGTTTGTATTAGGCCTACATGATTTTGTTCTCACGAGCCGAAACAATTTCACAAAGCCTAATAATAACGAGACTTCTTTTATATATAGCATCTTGTCTACATCTTTTTCTTGTAAAAGGAATATCTACTAGTTGTTAGACAGTGTTTAAGTTCGCTATTGTTCATCCATGGCCAATGAGCCTAAATAATTTATAATAGACACTACAATTCTTCTAAGAGAAATACACCAGACCTCCTATTTCTATCAGTTTGCCTCATATTTTAAAAGTAATATATATCTGTTTCTCTATATACGATTATAGTGATATGCACATTTTCTTACTTTTTAGGGTTATGTTAACAGCATATAGGCCAACTTTCACTTCGATCTCAGCGTCGTGGATCTCTTCTCTGAAGAAAGCTTTGTATGCTGTTTCCACACCATGTAATGAAGCAACTTCCCATTCTTGTCCATAAATTGATACTAAGAAAAATTCAATACAATAATCATAATATTTGCATCACGTACAGGTCTACCTAAATCGAAATCTTGCAAACGGTAAGGAGTATAGTTAAAGGTTGTTGACCTTCTATTTCTGGAATGTATATGTGTTGTACAAACGTTAATAGTTTACCAAAATTGAAATGAACTTGAAATATTAACATGATATGTAATTGTAAAATACTTAGTAAAGTCTAATACAACGATAACCACAACATACAGAAACTGCACTACAATGGTACAATTATTGAAGAATAATTATTTTGAAGCATACAACTTACTCATTATAGCTGTGCCAATGAATAAACTAGTGGTCACCCGGATGAATGAGCACATACGCTGTAACGAGTAGCATTATTGCATTGTTAAGATTTCACGTAAAAACATTGTTATAAATGTACAGTAGTCCTACTAATAATACGATAACAAACTAATATGATGTATATAAATATATATTTTTCATGTTTTCTATATATACATATATATATACACACACACACACACACACATATATATATATATATATATATATATATATATATATATATATATATATACACATATGAGGAACACAAAAATATTCATTTATAAGGTTCACGGATATTTCGGTTGTCCTACAACCTTCTTCAGCGTTTAAGTGAAGACATAATCAAATAGATTTACAGTAAGACAGATTATCTTGTCACATTAACATAATAATATAGGGTGTATATCTAAAATAACATGGCACTGTTGATGTCTATGGGAGTAGATAATGAAAGTAGAGAGCTAAACATAGTGGCCTATACAAAATGAATGAAATACACGGAAAAAATTGAACTACAGGTATATTGTGATAAATAAAAAAATAATACGAAGTAGACAATACAAAATAGAATAAAATAAGCGAAACTAGGTATTCAAGTGGTCCAATCTTGTTAAATACATGATAAATAATGGATATTCTGGTAGTACAGTCATGAGAAATAGATTACCGACAAAATAAATGACATATTCAATAATACTACAATACATATACAGTAGGTATATAAAGCGCACGTGTAAAAATAGGAGAAATGAAAAAGGCAAATATTTGAGAAGTCCAGTTATATGCATATGATACTGTTATAAAACATCCTATTGGATGTTAGTAAATGTGTAATCGGTGGCAAAGCCAATGTCTTTGTTAAGGCCGTTGGTGTGGGATTTGATCCTGATTATCCATTTTATTTCGGCACAACGTCTGTCATTGGAAGATCTGTAGTTAGAGCCTAGAATAATATACTCTATGGAGTGGCCGGGAAGGTTAAAATGAGTGCTAACTGAGAAGCCTGGGCTTTCGTCTCTGATTGACTTTTTGTGATTGTTGATCCTAAGTCTGAATTTGGTGCCGGTTTCCCCTACATAATTACCGTGGCAACATTACAATATACTAGAAATTGCAAATTGCAAGTGAAGTGCTGCGAAGTACCACTGTATATAAATGTTCTTTGAACAAAATTATTTATACGAGTCAAGTGAAAATAATGAATAATAAAAATATAACAAATAATATGAGACACGACCCATTGTCTATATTAGAACACATGAGTAATAAAGTCGTAATTTTTCATTTTTGTCAAAAAGTGTCTATAGTGGTGAATTATGGTTTAGGTTTTTTAAAATAAAGTTTCAAAAATTAAATAACAACACCCTGGTCTAGGAAGTGTACATTTTTTTATGGGGCAAGTTTCCAAGGGCGGGTTTTCTAGAGGCGAGTTAGACTGCCAAAGAGTGTGGCCAAAGTGCGAGCCAGCGTGTTATTTGATCACAAGTGCGAGACATCGCAAGTGTGAGCCAGCGAGCCAAGACGTCACGACAATAGATTCGAGACGTTACTCGAGTTGTGCGAGGTATCGGCTGATATTTGTGGAGTACAAAAAACAACTATAGGTCTAATAATGAATTATTCTGATGTTAAATAGACAATTTTAGCTATCAAGGAGCGACGTTGTTTTTCATTGGGACCTTCGTCCTTTCAAGGCTAGGCCTATACCATCCTATCTAGTCTAGGCCTAGAGTAGGATAAGGCTAGCGCGACATGGGACGTTGGTACAAACGTCGCCTAAAGTAATTGATTTTACCCGGCAGAACGAAAGAAGGAAACTCCGCTTTTCAGTAGTCTTAGGCCCTTGTTTTTTTACAAACAATGACCTTTCAGAGGTCAAATTGCTGTCAAGAATATGAATCGGATGTATATCGGATGTATCACAGTTGGCAGCGGGAGGGCAAATGCTGTATGTAGTGCCAGGGGGTGAGAACAACCCAAACCCAACCCCTGCTCAGGCAATAAAATTTAACAGTTAAAATATAACACTGTTAAATACCAATTCAAAAGATGTGTATAAGAGACAGTATATATATACAGGGGTGTCATTTTAAGCCGGTGGCCGGCGCAATCTCCGTCAATTATTATTTTTGCACTTTAAATACAGAATCTAATGTCGTAAATCATATTTCTTGACCAAGCAAATACTTGTTAAAACATGAATTTCTATTTTTTCAAAAGCCATTATTGAACACGCGATCCCCGACACGATCGGCGCGACAGAAAAATCAAGTCATGGGGAATCCCCGAATTAGTTCGCATGTATTCTTGTAAACAAGTTCGACTCAAAATTGAACCACGGAGCAGGCTTGGTTTGATTTTCGTAATATAATTTTGCTGGTTTATTAATAAACGTAATTTATCTTGGTGCAGTTAGTACCGTATGTATTTCAATCATTTAATAAATTTATTATTCATTGTGTTAACTTTTCAAAATATAAGTGATGAGCTGGAAATATACTCCGCATTATTTTTGGATCCCACACTTTATTGAAGAAGACGACATGCATGCGGTACTCTGTATGAAGCCTACGCCAAAAACATGGAGAAATTCCCTTCTAAATCTAGCATTTACCACGAAAATTAAAACAGCATTCTTCTAGGCCTAAGCTTACATTTTGTACGATACTAAATCATCAAAACAAAGCAAATAAAATTCAAACACATTGTCACAAACAACGTCCAACCAAAGAACACCGTTAAAATCGGGTCTAGCCCCGATAGAGCATCGGCGAAGAACATCTGTTTGTAGAGAGCACGTGATCGGCCGTACGAAGTATGCTATGAAGCAAGAAGTAAAGAGCCTCGTCCGTCATAATATAGCATCTGATAAGATATTTTATTTAGGCCTAATCATCACAAATATCAAGTCAAAAAAAAAAAAAAAAATGGTCGAGCGAAGAACATCGAGAAAAACCCACGTGATCACCCATACGAAGTATGCTAGGAAGCAAGAAGTAAACAACCTTGCCCGTCATAATGGCATGTAATATGCGTGTATTTCTTGTAAGATATTTAATCATCACGAATAAAGTAAGTCAACCAAATAGTTTTAATGTTTTATTAACACATTTTCCCACGTCGTCACTAACAAAAACAACATTGACAGTTGAGAGAAAGGCTATGCTGTAAGTATGTACGAGCCACTCTACAAAGTACGGTAAGAGGTGGATCAGCGTGTGGATGCAGGGAGCATTCGCTCGTACGTACAGTGGTCATGATGCGAGTAAACTAAAAATAATGCAAATGGCCCAATTCCGGAGCATTATCTTTTTTTGAAAAGATAACAATGATTCAATAACCTGTTTAATGATTGAAATAAATATATATTGTATCAAGTTATACGTTTAATAAAAACAACTTTTTTTTTTTTCAAATCTCCGAGGTTTAAACTACATGGAGGTGGTTCAACGTACATTCACGTGAACAAATTCGGGGGTTTCCCTTGTGCCTTGATTTGCCGTCGATTCGATCGTGCGTTGCTCAGTAACAACTTTTAAATAAGTAGACCTAGACATTTCTTTGTTTTTACAAATATATGTATACTAAACAATTAAAAGCTTGGAGAAGATATGATTTTTGTTTACCGTTAATTAATGGTACATTTTAAACTTATCTTGACAACAAAGGGGCCTATACAAATTAGTGCCGTCGTTAGCTTCAGGCTCCTCGGCAAATTGAGGAATGCCGACGCTAATTTCGAGGGCTGTAGCAATGTAGATTATTATTACATTGTATACAAATACAATATTTAGATACTGTAATAACAACGTGTATTCAATTATAGAAAAGTTAGCCCTGACGAAGACAGTGTTCTGTCCCAAAAAATCTCACTGGCTGTTTTACTTTTACGTTTAAATTTTAGCTTTTGAATACCAATATTAATAGTATCTCATTTTTTTTAGTATTTTGCCTTTTTGATTATAAATAGAAGTTGTTATAATTTATTTATTTTTTTGTATATTTGCAAAGGTAATTAAAAATATCTGCATGTAGAAAAGGCACAGTATTAGTTGTTATGAAGATGAAAGTAAGAAAACTAGTAAGTAGATAGAATCAGATTGCTGAACTGACAATTGAATGAAAATACATAATTACAATACAAAGAGTGTATGAAGTGCTATCCATTTATTTATTGTTATTGAAAATTTCATTAACCACAAAAGTGTTTGACTGTTGGATTTTTACTTGAAAATAATGTTTAATACATTCTAAAATCAAACATTGCAAAACAATTCAAAACTTTTTAATGGCATCTTACAGTAATTATTTTTCATTTTTTCATAGGTAGGGAGGGGAACACCCCAACCCAAACCCAACCCCTGCTCAGGCAATAAAATTTAACAGTTAAAATATAACACTGTTAAATACCAATTCAAACACTGTTAAATGGCATCTTAAAGAAATTATTTTTCATTTTTTTCTTAGGTACAGAGGGGGACACCACCTCTCAAACCCACCCCCCACTCGGGCCAAAGGGCCTTCGGATGTCGCTCTGCGACATGTTCCTCCGTCTATTACTAAAACTCCTCTTGTTATTTCATTTCAAAATGACACCCCTGTATATATATAAACTCTTGAGAGGTGTTTAGTATTGCCAAAAGTACGGTAGTTTATAGGCAAGTACGGTACTGTATATTCAATAAAACAACAGACGAGTCTATGGTCGAAACGTTTGTGAGCATCTATTTCAAATAAATTGCGGCAAATTAACCACCTCGTCTGTTGTTTTATTGAATACCGGTATATATATTTGCCTATGCGGTACCA